TTTTGGCCAATTTTAAGGATAAATCTCCTCCCTTCGGTGACCCAGGTGCTGCCCGCTCCTCCTCAGCTGGCAAAACCCAATTAAAAAATTAAAAAGATTGATTTCCCCAGCTGCACGTGGAGCATCCTCGGGAGAGAAAGGGAAGAGCTCAGACGGCGACAGGTAAAATCCACCCTCTTATTTATTATTCTTTTCCCTTTCGCTGCGGGGGCGAAATGAGGAAGGAGGGAAGAAGAAGCAGCCCTTCCTCTTCCTCCCCACCTGCCCCCCCCCCATTGTCAAACAGCTTTTATATCTTCCAGTTATTATTTTAAGGCTGTTTCCGAAGGAAACGAGGTTCATACATGCCTATGCCTGCGTCTGTCTGTCCGTCCATCCGTCCGTTGGGCGTCCCCCCCGTCCCGGTGCTTGGCAACGAGGCTGCAGGTGAAAAATCATGAAGATTTCATGAAAAAAATTGAAGGCAGGGAGGGGAATTCCACCCCCACCCCCCTCCCGCTCTTCTGCATTTAAGAGGGTTTTGGGGAGGCTGTTTCCGAAGGAAACGAGGTTCATACATGCCTATGCCTGCGTCTGTCTGTCCGTCCATCCGTCCGTTGGGCGTCCCCCCCGTCCCGGTGCTTGGCAACGAGGCTGCAGGTGAAAAATCATGAAGATTTCATGAAAAAAATTGAAGGCAGGGAGGGGAATTCCACCCCCACCCCCCTCCCACTCTTCTGCATTTAAGTGGGTTTTGGGGAGGGTCCCACATCTCCCCAAACACCCCCCACTCCCCCCCCGAGAGCGTCCATCAGGAAGTTTTAAGGAATTTGGATAATATTCCTTATGAATACGCTTTTTCCCCCCTGGGGACAAATTTGAAGGAAGGAGAGGCAGAAATCAGCCAAAACGCGTCTCTGTGGTGCAGGAGGTAGAATTAGAAAGGTTATTATGGGGTGGAATCGACTTTCAGTTTGGGATTATATGGATGGATCTCAGGAAGACGACTGCTGTCTGTCGGCTTACAGGAGGCTATTTAGTCTTAAAGAATGGGAAAAACTATAAAAATCACTTTTTTTTGCCTCTTTTCTTGATGGCTGGAAGGCTGAGCCTCCATCGCGGTGCCGGGTGACACTCTGCGGCCGGATCCCCCCTGAACTCCCCTGGGCACTGCCTCCTTTTACCAGTGCTGCTTTTAGGGCTAAACACCGCAGAAACGGGCAAATCCAGAGCGTGCAAGTGGTCAGTGGGGGCTTTGCTGAGTCTCTGACCGGAGTCTGCTCTCCTCCCAGGCAGGCGTCCGGCGTCACCGCGTGATGTGGCGTGTTGGGTTGGAGGATTTCAGGGCAATACGGCGTGGGGGCTTTGCTGAGTCTCTGACCGGAGTCTGCTCTCCTCCCAGGCAGGCGTCCGGCGTCACCGCGTGATGTGGCACGGTGGGATGGAGGATTTCAGGGCAATACGGTGACTACAGCTCAGCCAAGCTCCATTTTCCAGCTGTTTTGGTGGAGAAAACCCTATTTTTTCTTCATTTTTGCCAGGTTAAACCATGGTGGGGGTTGCACCAGAGCACACCTGTGTCTGCCTGGGCTTCCCTCCATCCTTCCCTTCGCTGGGGAAGCGAAAAGGATGGAGATCACGATGAAATGTCCAAGATTGGTGTCTCATCTCCCTCTCCCCTCACTTTTGGGTTACAATACGCTCTGTTTGGGGGTCTCCACATGCTGGTTCCCCGGCCATGGATTCCCAACGCCGGGCCCATCCCTGGGGTGGACTGGGGTCCAGCTCGGTCCCACCAGGCTGTCCCCTGAGCCGATCTACACACCGCCACGGCTCTCCAAGGAAAAGCTCTTTGCCTTTTTGAGGCTGTTTTAACCCAAATCTCCTTTGAGGCCAAGGCAGCCCTGCCTCGATCCCCGCTCCCGTCCCCGCCGCCGCTTTCCATGGGGGAAGGAGCCAGCCCCAACCTCTCCTGTTGGCACCACTCTCACAAAGCCCCAAATTGTTCCAACCACTCGGGTCCTCCCTTAACCCAAACTGGCCTCTCTCTTCCTTGTCCCAATACCTGTTTGTTTTCCCCCAGAAAAATCCAGCCGAGCACAGCCCAGGAGATCTCGGGCGAGCTTGTGCCCTCTTTTTGCTCGGTGGTTTGTGACGTGTCCGATCAGCGCCAGGGTTTTGGGGGCAACTTCTTGATTTCTCCAGGAAAACACCATCCCTGTGGGTTCCCTTCACCTCTCGGTGAAGATCCTCCCATTCCTACACCAGGTGGGGTGACACACGGCTTGGTGGTGGGGCTGGTAGCCCAAAATACCAAACTCCTGGTCAGGATTTTGCCCCACATTCCTCTCAGGTCAAATGTGTGCAAAACAACCCCCGTGGTGGTTTTTGTTGGGGTTTTTGGTGTTGTTGGATGGTAGGATCTTCGGCACCAGGAGACGATAACATCTGGAGGATTTCTGCTCCCAGCTGCAGGCCAGCACAAGCAGCAGAGCCCTGCACGGAGCCTGTTCTCCTCTCCTGAGCAGCGTATATCACAGGGGAGGGATATTCACCCGGCTACAACTTCAAATCCCTCCCACAAGCAGCTCTCAAAAGAGTTTTGTTTTCAAAGGCCCCTTCCGAGATGGAAATCTGCCCCGAGACGGAGCTTTCTGATGCCAGGGAGAGGCAGAAACGCGCTGCGAAACCCGCACGCCGACTCATTTCACTTCAGTAAAGAAAGAGCATTAAATTAAATAAAGTCAGGGCTTTTCCTTCCCGGCGCTTTCCACGCACCAAGCAATGTGCTTCTTTTCCTTTAACTTCAACCCCCCCCTCACGCATTCCTCCCGGCGTCCTCTCCGCCGCCGTCTCTCTGCCTTTGGAGCCCATTAAATGCTTTACAGCCCTTTCTCTCCTCCTCCTCGCCTCCATCCCCGGCATTTTCCACTCCAGCTGCCACCCTGGTGTATAATTAAACCGTTTTTTTCTCCTGTCCCCAGTGAGATTTTACCAACGCAGCGTTGTCACCAGCTGCTGACCAGGTCCTTCTTCTCCAAGCATGAAATCCTCCTTCAGCTCTGCAGGTTTTGCTGCCCCTCACCCTTGGTTACTCCTTTGCCTCCTGATTTTGAGGGGGGGTTGTTTCTGTGGGCTCCTCCTCTCTTCCCACTTTGCCTTGTCTCATCTTGGCCGATCACATGCCCTTTGGTGTCAAGAAACTGTCTTTTTGCCTCCAACCAGCTCGTGTCGGAGCACAACGACCTCCTGGCTCGTCGTGCTTGCTCTGCAGCCCCGAAAAAAACACCTTCAGCCCTTGGCGTGTGTCCAGAGATATTGCATTTACTGTAATAATTATAATAATAAATGATTACCAGCAGAAGTAGGGAGGTGTTTATGCCCCTGTACTTGGCACTGGTGAGGCCACACCTCGAGTATTGTGTCCACACCTGAATGATTCTATGATTCTACGATAAAAAAAAAAAAAGCAAGGATGCATTTGAACTCCTCACCCTTAAGAGCTTTCCTGCTGTTTAGTATGAGGAAGAGGAGGCTGAGGGGAGACCTCATCACTCTCTACAACTACTTGAAAGGACACTGTAGAGAGGTTGGGGCTGGTCTCTTTTCACAGGTAATTAATGACAGAACAAGAGGGAACTGCTTCAAGCTCCAACAGGGTAGGTTTAGACTGAACATTAGGAAGGAATTTTTCACAGAAAGAGTGGTCGGGCATCGGAACGGGCTGCCCAGGGAGGTGGTGGATTCCCCATCCCTGGATGTGTTTAAGGGATGTTTAGATGTGGTACTGAGGGATATGGTGTAGGGGAGGACTTTGTAGAGTAGGGGAGATGGTTGGACTCGATGATCCCAAGGGTCTCTTCCAACCTGGATGATTCTGTGATTCTATGATTAAAAAAAAAAAGCAAGGATGCATTTGAATTCCTCATCCTTAAGAGGAGCTTTCCCGAAGAACTGGATTTAGAAAAATAGAATCATAGAATTATCTGGGTTGGGAGGGACCTTTCAGACCATCAAGTCCAACCATCAGCCCAACGCCGACAAAACCCACCACTGACCCATGTACCTCAGCACCACGTCTGCCCGGCTTTTAAATCCCTCCAGGGATGGCAACTCCACCACTGCCCTGGGCAGCCTCTGCCAAGGCTTCACAACCCTTTCCATGAAGAAATTTTCCCCAATCTCCATCCTAAACCTCCCCTGAGGCAACTTGAGGCCATTTCCTCTTGTCCCATCACCTGTTCCTTGGGAGAAGAGACCGACCCCCCCTGGCTACACCCTCCTTTCAGGGAGTTGGAGAGAGCAAGAAGGTCTCCCCTCAGCCTCCTTTTCTCCAGGCTGAACACCCCCAGCTCCCTCAGAAGTTCTCCAGACCCTTCTCCTTGGTCTCCAGACCCCTCCCCAGCTCCATTGCCCTTCTCTGGAGCCGCTCCAGCCCCAAAATGTCCCTCTGTGGGAAGCCTCCCTCCCCGAAGGAAGGCCGCCCCCACCAAATGGACTCTGTGGGCTGGCAGAACCTGGCAGGACAGCAAGTTTCCAGGCTCTCCGATGTGGCGCTCGCCTTGCCAGAACTTTTTGGCTCCTTCTTTTCAAGGAGTTTTGCTTGTGGCAGAGCCGCAGGCCCCAGGGGAGAGGCCTGGCGCGGGCCCTTGTGCTTGGGGGGGGTGCGAACCATAAAATTTCACTAAAATGTGGAAAAAAACCCCCAAACTTCTCCACAGGGAGGGAGGTTTAGCGCTGCACCGGCCGCTCTCAAACAGCGTAGGGGCCACTGGAGGCCCCACCGCCCGGAAAGGCCTCGGCGTCCCGCCGCCGCCATTCCGCGCCTCAGGCCCGCGCGGGGGACGGTGGCCCGCCCGCACCACCCCCTCCCACCGTTGGACTACATTTCCCAGGAGCCCCCGCGGCGCGGCGCGGGTAGGCGGGGCGCGGCGGGGGCGTCGCGGAGGCTGCCGGGAGTTGTAGTTGGCGGCGGCGGGGCGGGAGGACTGCAGGTCCCGGCGTGCCCCGCGGGCGGTCCCTGAGGGAGGCGGTGGCGGCGGCGGCGGCGGCGATGTCGGTGCAGGTGGCAGCCCCCGCTGTGGAGCTGAAGGAGCTGAGCGGCCCCATGGATAAAGCAGCGGGGCCGCCGTGCGAGCCGGTGGCCGCTCACCCTCCCGGGCACGGCGTGGCCGCGGCCCCTTGCCCGCTACCGGCTACCGAGCGTGAGGCGGCCCCGGCGTCCTCTTCCTCCGGTGGCGGCGAGCGGCCTCCCCTCAGCGGCTGCCCCGGCTTGTCCGCCGCCACCAAGGTACCGCAGGCTTCGGCCATGAAGCGGAGCGACCCGCACCACCCCCAGCACCGGCACCGCGACGGTGGCGACGGCGGCGGCGGCCCGGCGGCCGAGGCGCTCGTCAGCCCCGACGGCACCGTCACCGAGGCGCCGCGCACCGTCAAGAAGGTAACGGGGGAGAGAGAGCACCCACCCATAAGCGTGGGGACCCCCCCACCCCCCAATCCTGCGGGGGACCCTGCACCCCCACCGGGACACGCACCCGGGGAGGGGGGGAACCGGCCCGGTGGCTTGGGGACACGGCGCTGCCCCCCATCCCGTCCTGCCCCTGCGGGTTTGGGGTGTCGGTGTGCCCCGAGGTGCTGCTGTGGCTGTTGGTGGGGGGGGGGACGGGGACTCCCGTGGCCCTGGCAGCTTCTCCCGTGACTGTGTGCTTGTTCCCGTGGTGGTTGCCCCAGTGGCTGTACTCCCGTGGGGGTTTCTCCGTGGCTGTGGTGGGTGCCCCTGTGGTTGTACTCCTGGGGGGGTTCTTCCGTGGTCGTGGCGGTTGTCCGCATGGCTATGCTCCTGTGGTGGTTGCCCCCATGGCTATACACCCGTGGGGGTGCCCCCGTGGCTGTGGCAGTTGCCCCTGTGGCTATACTCCTTTCGGGGTGCCCCTGAGGCTGTGGCGGTTGCCCCCGTGTCTATACACCCGTGGGGGTGCCCCTGTAGCTGTGATGGTTGCCCCTGTGGCTATACACCCGTGGCGGTTGCCCCCGTGACCGTGGTGGTTGTCCCCATGGCTATACTCCTTTGGGGGTGCCCCCATGGCTAAACACCTGTGGGGGTGCCCCCGTGGCTGTGCCAGTTGCCCTTGCGTCTATACACCTGTGGGGGTGCCCCTGTGGCCGTGGTGGGTGCCCCTGTGGCCGTGGTGGTTGCCCCTGTGGCTATACACCCGTGGGGGTGCCCCTGTGGCCGTGGTGGTTGCCCTTGTGTCTATACACCTATGGGGGTGCCCCTGTGGCTATACTCCTTTGGGGGTGCCCCCGTGGCTAAAGACCTGTGGGGGTGCCCCCATGGCCGTGGTGGTTGCCCCTGTGGCTATACACCCGTGGCGGTTGCCCCCGTGGCCGTGGTGGTTGTCCCCATGGCTATACTCCTTTGGGGGTGCCCCCATGGCTAAACACCTGTGGGGGTGCCCCCATGGCTGTGCCAGTTGCCCTTGCGTCTATACACCTGTGGGGGTGCCCCTGTGGCCGTGGTGGTTGCCCCTGTGGCTATACACCTGTGGGGGTGCCCCCGTGGCCGTGGTGGTTGCCCCTGTGGCTATACTCCTTTGGGGGTGCCCCCATGGCTGTGGTGGTTGCCCCCGTGGCTATACACCCATGGGGGTGCCCCCATGGCCGTGGTGGGTGCTCCTGTGTCTTTGGGGGTGCTCCTGTGGGGTTGCCCCCCATGTTGTTGGGGTTGCTCTGGTGGGGGCGGGTGTCCCGTTGCCGTGGGGGTGCTCTCGTGCTGTGCTTCTCTGACTGTGGCTGTGTTTTGGGGACACTCTGGGGACATGGGGTCCTCCTTGTGTGTCCCCCCCACCCTCCTGTCTGTGTCTTTGGGGGTGCTCCTGTGGGGTTGCCCCCCATGTTGTTGGGGTTGCTCTGGTGGGGGCGGGTGTCCCGTTGCCGTGGGGGTGCTCTCGTGCTGTGCGTCTCTGACTGTGGCTGTGTTTTGGGGACACTCTGGGGACATAGGGTCCTCCTTGTGTCCCCACCCCCCCACTCCTGCCTCTCTGCCCCGTGGGTGGGTGGCAAACACTGTCCGTGGGTATGCCCAGGGAGGGACAAGTGTGACCAAGCGTGGTGTTGCCCTGGTGTGTGTGCCAGGTACGTGAGCTTCCCCGGGGTGGGGTGTGTGTGTCTCAGGGGGGGTTCACACCGGGTTCACGGCTACGGGGTTATCTGCTCGCTTGGAAACAGGGACGTGGGCCAGATAACAGCGTCCGGGGAGAGGTGAGAGGGACAATCAGGTGTACCCGGTGTGGGTGTGCGTGCCCCTGTGGGGTTGCCCCCCATGTTGTTGGGGTTGCTCTGGTGGGGGCGGGTGTCCCGTTGCCGTGGGGGTGCTCTCGTGCTGTGCGTCTCTGACTGTGGCTGTGTTTTGGGGACACTCTGGGGACATAGGGTCCTCCTTGTGTCCCCACCCCCCCACTCCTGCCTCTCTGCCCCGTGGGTGGGTGGCAAACACTGTCCGTGGGTATGCCCAGGGAGGGACAAGTGTGACCAAGCGTGGTGTTGCCCTGGTGTGTGTGCCAGGTACGTGAGCTTCCCCGGGGTGGGGTGTGTGTGTCTCAGGGGGGGTTCACACCGGGTTCACGGCTACGGGGTTATCTGCTCGCTTGGAAACAGGGACGTGGGCCAGATAACAGCGTCCGGGGAGAGGTGAGAGGGACAATCAGGTGTACCCGGTGTGGGTGTGCGTGCCTCGGGGTGTTTGCCCGTCAAGGTGTACGGACCCACACTGGGAACACGTGGACAACTGTACTTTCATAGAATCATAGAATCATTGAGGTTGGAAGAGACCCTTGGGATCATAGAGTCCAACCATCTACCCTACTCTACAAGGTCCTCCCATACACCATGTCCCTCAGTACCCCATCTAAACGTCCCTTAAACACAGCCAGGGATGGTGACTCCACCAACTCCCTGGGCAGCCTATTCCAATGCCCAACCACTCTTTCTGTGAAAAATTCCTTCCTAATGTTCAATCTAAACCTACCCTGTTGGAGCTTGAAGCCGTTCCCTCTCGTTCTATTGTTAATTACCTGTGAGAAGAGACCAGCACCAACCTCTCTACAGTGTCCTTTCAAGTAGTTGTAGAGAGTGATGAGGTCTCCCCTCAGCCTCCTCTTCCTCAAACTAAACAGCCCCAGCTCCTTCAGCCGCTCTTCATATGATTTGCCTTCCAGCCCCTTCACTAGTTTCGTTGCCCTCCTCTGCACTCGCTCCAGCACCTCGAGATCTCTCTTGTATTGAGGTGCCCAAAACTGGACACAATACTCGAGGTGTGGCCTCACCAGTGCCAAGTACAGGGGCACAATCACCTCCCTACTTCTGCTGGTCACGCTATTTCTAATACAAGCCAGACCACCGGGGAATATATACACACCCAGGAGTACCTACAGCTGGTTATACGTGTGTTTGCAACCACGTTTGTCCTTACAGGTGTGTACAGCCCACAGCTCTATGTTTGCTTGTGTCTGTGTGAACCCCACACGTGAAGTGGGGGTGTGAGTGCACAGATGTGGGTGTGCAAACCGACATAGTGTGTGCTGGTAGGGAGACAAACACGTATAGAGATGCAGACACTCATATAGGTGTCTGTTGTATAACTGTGTGACATACCTTCAGGTATACCACACCAGCACCCTGGCCTGTGTCAGGAACAGCGTGGCCAGCAGGACTGGGGCAGTGATGGTCCCCCTGGACTGGGCACTGGTGAGGTCCCCACCTTGAGGGCTGTGTCCAGTTTTGGGCCCCTCATGATGGGAGGGATGTTGAGGGGCTGGAGTGGGTCCGGAGAAGGGCAATGGAGCTTGTGAGGGGTCTGGAGAACAAGGAGAAGGGTCTGGAGAACTTCTGAGGGAGCTGGGGGTGTTCAGCCTGGAGAAAAGGACGTTGAGGGGAGACCTTCTCACTCTCTCCAACTCCCTGAAAGGAGGGGGTAGCCAGGGGGGGTCGGTCTCTTCTCCCAAGGAACAGGCCATGGGACAAGAGGAAATGGCCTCAAGTTGCCCCAAGGGAGGTTTAGGGTGGAGACTGGGGAAAATGTCTTCCCTGAAAGGGTTGTGAAGCCTTGGCAGAGGCTGCCCAGGGCAGTGGTGGGGTCACCATCCCTGGAGGTATCTAAAAGCCGGGCAGACTTGGTGCTGAGGGACATGGGTCAGTGGTGGCTTTATCGGTGTTGGGTTGATGGTTGGATTTGATGATCTCAAAGGTCTTTTCCAACTTAACGAGTCTACAATTCTAAGTCTACAGGATTAGAGATGTATAGGGATCCAAGGCACCCCTGTGGTCATTGCATAGGTGGATTATGCACATACCAATATTCACCTATAGATTCATCTAAGTTCACTCTCTGACCTCACCAGGTAGATATATGTGTGTGTTATCTGTGTCCCTCAGGTGGATGCATAGTTATTGGACATAGTTACTCCCCCTAAGGGGGGGATATACGTGTTCTCCTATAGATACAGCCCCCTGCAGACACAGGTGCCACCCCCCATGGGTGGCTGTAGAGAATTGTGTGCTTTCCACAAATTCCTGAGCAGCGACAGCCTGAGTTGTTGGTGCACCCTTCCCTTTGGAGATCTCAGGAGTTGTCCCCATGATGCAAGGACCTTTTTGGGGGAACGTAGAGGAAGAAACGTCCCCGTCATAAGTGGAACCTCCCTACTCATAGAACTTCAGGGTGAAGACTTCATCTACGTATTGCTGGGCTTTACCTTCTCTCATTGTTGCTCTTGCTTTTCCTCCCCTTTTGGAAGGGCCCAGGATGAGGGAGTTTGTCTCCATAACCATCATCTCCTCCTGTGTGGCTTCCCTGGAACTGGAGTTTCTCCTAAAGAGCCCGTCGCTGTGAGGCAAGGTCTCCCCATGAAGAGAGTCTGGATGAAGGGCTCCTCCATCCCCTTAGAGATCCCTGCTGGGGGCGGGGGGTTCAGTTCCTCGGTGAAGGACTTTTTTCCACTAAGATTGTGACTTCCATCCTCAGTGCCTGGAGCCCTCCCTCATTTGATATCCTCATCCCATCTCTCTATTTTTAGAGACCCTCAGGGGTATCCATATTTTTCTTCAAGTGTGCTTAATATTTCTAAACTCCTCCCTTATCCCTCTAGTGGTTTTGGGGTTTTTGTTGGGTTTTTTTTTGCTAAACATCAAAAAAGGGTTTCTCCTTTCACCCCGCTTCCTAATTATGGAATTGCCCGGGTGGGAAAGGGACCTTTTAAGATCAGGGAGGCCAACCGTCAACTTCATGCTGCTAAAATGAGTCTGACCCTTGTCTGGAGCGCGGCGTTTACCTGGCAAAGCCCAGGAGGGAAGGGGGACCATTGATGGTGGGCGATGGGAGTCATCATGGTGGGAGGCTGCTGGAAGGAAAGGTGGATGCTCCCCGCAGCAGCCGAGGCTGCC